CTGTTTGTTTTTTCTTTTTTTTTTTATTCTTTTTGGTAATCATCTCGAAAGAGCAAGAGTTCAAAAGCAGCGATTCAAATTCACTCCGATACTCTATCGAAAATTCCTTGCAAAACCAAAAAAATAGAGGCGAAAGATACCAAAGCGGTCTTGTATCAAACTGCCTGTCTTCTTGTAGTTGGATCCCCAATTTTTTGAAATGCTCCAAACTCTACTTGAGCATCCAAATCTGGGTCAATACCAGCAAAAACATCTCTGAACAAAGTTCTAGCACCATGCCAAATGTGTCCGAAGAAAAAAGCAAAGCAAACGAAGCATGTCCAAAAGTAAACCAACCCCTTGGACTGCTACGAAAAACACCATCGGATTTCAAAGTCGCCCGATCTAATTCAAAAATTTCACCCAATTGAGCACGTCTAGCATATTTCTTGACGGTAGCAGGATCACTATAAGTGACTCCATTGAGTTCGCCACCATAGAACTCAACGGTTACACCCCCTGTTCAACACTATACTTCGATTCTGCTCTTCGAAAGGGGACATCGGCTCTAACAATTCCGTCGCCATCTACTAAAACGACTGGAAATGTTTCGAAAAAAGTAGGCATACGACGTACAAAAAGCTCACGCCCTTCTTTATCCCTAAAAATAGGGTGCCCTAACCATCCAACCGCTATTCCATCCCCGTTATCCATCGAACCCGCCCTGAATAATCCTCCTTTTGCCGGATTATTGCCAATATAATCGTAAAAAGCTAATTTTTCAGGAATTTTCGACCAGGCTTCTGATAAACTTTGATTTTCTGCTAGCCCGACGCTAACTCTTCGATAGATCTCTTGCTGGAAGTAACCCTGATCCCATTGATAACGAGTAGGACCAAATAATTCAATGGGGGTAGTTGCTGAACCATACCACATAGTTCCAGCAACAACAAAAGCTGCAAAAAAGACAGCCGCGATACTACTGGAGAGTACGGTTTCGATATTTCCCATGCGCAATCCTTTGTATAGACGTTGTGGCGGTCGAACGCTAAGATGGAATAGACCCGCTAATATGCCCAATGTACCTGCTGCAATATGATGAGAAGCTATTCCTCCCGGAACAAAAGGATCAAAACCTTCCACGCCCCACAACGGATTTACAGGTTGTACTTTCCCGTTAATCCATAAGGATCGGACACCCAGATTCCAGGACCGTACAGGCCTGTTACATGAAATGCACCAAAACCAAAAACAAGCCACCCCGGAGAGAAATAAATGAATTCCAAAGATCTTAGGTAAATCCAAAGAAGGTTTTCCTGTACGTTCATCGCAAAAAATTTCTAGATCCCAATAGACCCAATGCCAGATAGCTGCCAAAAAGCATAAGCCAGAAAACACAATATGTGCCCCAGCTACACCCTCGTAACTCCAAATCCCCGGATTTGTTACAGTCCCTCCTGTGATACTCCAACCTCCCCACGAATTGGTTATTCCTAAACGAGTCATGAAGGGTATAACGAACATACCCTGTCTCCACATTGGATCAAGAACAGGGTCAGAAGGATCAAAAACGGCTAATTCATACAGAGCCATCGAACCCGCCCAACCAGCAACCAGAGCTGTATGCATTATATGAACGGAAAGCAACCGGCCGGGATCATTCAATACAACGGTATGAACACGATACCAAGGCAAACCCATGGAAAATACCCCCTTATCAAAGAAAAATAGACACTACGTAACTTTATTGCATTGCAAAGACTGTAATACTATGATTATCCTATAGACTGCACTTCTTCAGTGACTGAAAAAGTCCCGTGAAATAGTTTAATTAACGCCTAATTCATTCGTGTCGAGTAGACCTGTTGTTGTCAGAATTCTTAATTCATGAGGTTGTAGGGAGGGATTTATGTCACCACAAACCAGAGACTAAAGCAGTGTTTTTTTTCAAAGCGGTGTTAAAGAGTACAAATTGACTTATATACTCTGATACGAAACCAAAGATACTGATATCTTGGCAGCATTCCGAGTAACTCCTCAACCCGGAGTTCCGCCTGAAGAAGCAGGGGCAGCGGTAGCTGCCGAATCTTCCACTGGTACATGGACAACCGTGTGGACTGATGGACTTACCAGCCTTGATCGTTACAAGGGCGATGCTACAACATCGAGCCCGTTCTTGGCGAAACAGATCAATATATTTGTTATGTAGCTTACCCTTTAGACCTTTTGAAGAAGGTTCTGTTACCAACATGTTTTACTTTCCATGTAGGAAATGTATTTGGATTCAAAGCCCTGCGTGCTCTACGCCCTGGAAGATCTGCGAATCCCTACTGCTATATTACAACTTTCCAAGGTCCCGCTCATGGGATCCAAGTTGAGAGAGATAATTGAACAAATATGGTCGTCCTCTGCTGGGATGTACTATTAAACCTAATTGGGATTATCCGCTAAAAACTACGGCAGAGCATGTTATGAATGTCTTCGCGGTGGACTTGATTTTACCAAAGATGATGAGAACGTG